AGAGGTTGCGGTGGCCAGGAGCGGCCACTGCACTCCAGTCTGGGCGACAGAGTGAGACTCCAACTCAAAAAAAATAAATAAATAAAATAAAGGTGCCCTTTTGTATGATTGATACAGGTACGAGGTCTGCAGCACTTCCATGGATGGCTCTGAATGTGTCACACTTCCAGTCTACTTCAGGGAGAGAAAGTCCAGGCCATCAAGTACTTCCTCTGGGGCAGTGCTCTACGGGCAGCCACTGCTGGTTTCTGTCCTCAAGCACAAGCTAACTCTCGAGTCTTTGTATCAGGCTGTTTGTGATCGCATCAGGTTGGTGGCAAGAATGTGATTTGTTTGTTATCTGAGATTAAGATAAGCCCTGTAGTAGTAGTGACAACCCCTGCAGAGTGGTTGTGTTGATCCCATATGCTCACATCTGTGAGAAATCACTTGTCCCAGCCTTTGGATTGGCCAGGGCAGGTACTATTTGCAGTAGGACATCTTAGGCACTATGACCCTGGGAGTTCAAGCCTCTGGTCCTTGGAATCATGTCAGTCACCTACATTAGGGAGGCTAGTGCTTTGATGGCATTTTGTATTTGAATACTATTTCTGAAGTATTCAACTATCATTCTAAATGGTAATTAGGATTATCAAGTGATAACTTAAAAAAGATGGTGTCACATGACATTCATAGAAGACTTGAAACAGACTCTCAGAGTCTTCATTGGCTTGATAGATTAGACATCTGATCTCTTGGGTTCTCAATTTCTTTTTTTTTTTGAAGGCAGGATTTATTGAGAGGACAGAAAAGCTAGAGTGAGAGGGGGGACCCGAGGGGGTTGCCAATTTCTTTTTTTTTAGTCAGAGTCTCACTGACTGGCTTGAGTACAGTGGCATGATCATGGCTTACTATAGGCTCCAACTCCTGGGCTTAAGTGATCCTCCTGTGTCAGCGTTCCAGTTAGCTGGGACTATAGGCATGCCATCAAACCTGGCTAATTTTTTTTTTTTTTAACTTTTAAAAGTTTTTGTAGAGACAAGTTCTCACTGTATTCAGGCTGGTCTCAAACTCCTGGGCTAAAGTGATCTTCTTGCTGGGATTACAGGCATGAGCCACTGTGCTCAGCCACATTCTCAATTTCTTAATGTTGAGTCATTACATAATTTTAAAGCACTTTTATTTACATAACTTGCTTTGTAAATAGCTGAATGTATAAATTATAAATGTATGAATTATAAATTATGAACTTCTTAGCGACATGGTAAATAGGTAAATGTTACAACTAACAATCTTTTTATTTTCTCTCTTTTTTTTAAGCCGCTACATAAAACAGCCTTTGCCTGATGAGTCTGGCAGCTCGCTCTTGGAGCCAGAGGCCTGCAATGGCTCCAAAACCAGCTGTGTAGGTGAGCATGCAACATACTATGGGGCCATGGGGCTGTGACTGACAAGATCCTCCTGATCTTCCTCTTCTTCCAGAGGTGTTATACACGTAGGAAAGGGAAGATCTGAGGCTGGTTAGAGGCTCTGCCTCCATCAGGCTCCTAGGTCTGTAATACTCTGTTCTGCCAGCTCCTGTTATCCAACTTTGGTACTTTGTGGAATCTTCTTAGATACCCGATGATGTAAGCTGTTTCACCTCAGCCACACTGAGCCTAGCTTAGTGGGACTGAGTGACTTGCCCAAGGTCACAAAGCAGAGTCAGGATTTGAATTTGCCAAGTAGATACTTACCTAGCCCATAATTGCATCTGTGACCTGACGTCTGTTGGCAGAGCTGGTGTTATCTTGGCCCTTATATACAACTGTGGTGCAGAGCCACCCAGCCTGACTGGTGAGCCTTCGGTCCCCAGGGAGGAAGACAGACATCCTGGCCAGCCAATCAGAAGGCAGAGTCAGACTCTCTTGGGCATTTCTTCCTCCCTTCCTCCTTCCCTCCCTCCATAGGTGGTGGCTGACTCTAGACAGCCTCTGCTATGGGAAGGAAGGAAGTCACAGTCTGAAAAGCAGTAGAAGCCAGGCTCGGTGGCTCAGCCTGTAATCCCAGCACTTTGGGAGGCTGAGGTGAGTAGATTGCCTGAGCCTGCAGGTTCGAGAACCGCCTGGGCAACTTGGCGAGACCTCATCTCTACAAATCAAAAAATTAGCCGGGCGTGGTAGCGCGCACCTGTAGTTCCAGCTACTTGGAAGGCTGAGGTGGAAGGATCGCCGGAGCCCAGCAGGTCGAGGCTGCGGTGGCTGGGAGTAGCCATTGCACTCCAGTCTGGGCAACAGAGTGAGACTTCAACTCAAAAAAAAAAAGAAAAGAAAAGCAGTAGAATTGGCTTGTTGCAGGAAACCCAGAGTCCTAACTATCCTCCTGTGGTTGGGTGCTGACAAGCCTGTCCCTGACCAAGGAGCTATGTCTAATCTGCATTGTGGTTGTCACTTTTTTTTGAAACTTAAGTGACTCAGTGACTTTATTCTTACAAAACTGTACATGTCCTACAGGTTAGTGCCATAATTCTTAACTGCAAATCCAAATGCCCAGGTTTCTTCAAGATAGTCCTGGAAAGTGGGAATTTACTTTAAAAATAATGACCACAAGTTCCTGTCGTCAGTGAGTGTTCCAAATTAGTTTTGGTATTTTAGGGATGAGTAGGTTTCTTTTTTTATTTTTTTTGAGTTGGAGTCTCACTCTGTTGCGCAGGCAGGAGTGCAGTGGCACACTCATGGTCACCCCAGTGTCAACCTGCTGGGCTCTGGCGATCCTTCTACTTCAGCCTTCCAAATAGCCAGAACTACAGGTGTGCGCTACCATGCCTGACTACATTTTTGATTTATTGTAGAGACGAGGTCTCGCCAACTTGTCCAGGCTGGTCTTGAACCCCTGAGCTCAAGCAATCCTCTTGCCTCAGCCTCTCAAAGTGCTGGGATACAAGTTTAAGCCACTGCACCTGGCCAGTATTACAATTTAATAAGATCACATCAGTAACAACACATTGTGAATGTTTGCTGTTGTTATAGCTAGCCCTGCCTCTTGGGGCACTCCCTCTGCCAGTTTTCAGTTTATTTTGGATCCTACAAGTGAGTCTTGGTGTATAGACTTCAGACCCGGGTTTAACCACAAAATTCTTGTAACTTCTGCTGCCATGGAGTGCTATTAGACTTGTGGCCACTGATCTTTAAGTCCCCTGCTGTTGCTTTCAGTGAGTTGGGTAGCTGCTTTCAGTGGACCCTGCCTTTTTTTCTCATCCTGTGATGCACACTTTATGGCATTTAATTCTGACTATATTGGCAGAAGGTTCCTGTGGTTGTGCAGGTAATTGGCAGCCAGTGGCATGGCTGAGGATACAGTTCTTGTAGTGTCAGGGTGCTGCTTGTTCCAAGTGGGGTTGAGGCAGTTTTTGGTCCTCTCTAAGAGGCAGTAGATAGGGCAGAATTTTCCTTCCCAGTCTAGGAGCGGGACAGGCTTACCTGTGTATATCCCTTTGCATTTACAAGGCATTCAAGATTCATGTGTGACCCTTACCACATCCTTGCAAGGGGCAGTGTTATTATCTCAGGAGTGAAGTGAATTGGGTAAGGGACCTCCATGAGAGATGGAGCTTATGGGGATTTAGCATATCTTCCTTTCCTCAGTGTCCATTTGCAATGATATTTCCTCAGTACATAAATCTCCTGTTTTTCATTTTAACTTTATTTTGTTAACTTTATTTTGTAAAGATGTGGTAGGCTGGGCATGGTGTTTCAAGCCTGTAATCCCAGCACTTTGGGAGGCCGAGGCAAGAAGATTGCCTGAGCTCAGGGGTTCAAGACCAGCCTGGGCAACTTAGTGAGACCTCGTCTCTACAATAAAAATAAATAAATAAATAAACCAGGTGTGGTAGCATGTGCCTGTAGTTCCAGCTATGTGGAAGACAGACAGAAGGATTACCTGAGCCCAGCAGGTCGAGGCTGTGGTGGCTGTGAGAGAGCCACTGCACTCCAACCTGTGTGACAGAGTGAGATTCCAACTCAAAAAAAAAAAAAAAAGATG